GCTGCAATAACAATGCGAGAATACATGTAGAATTGAACAAGGAGCCAAGTACAATTGAGGAAGCTGTTCATCATGTAGTGCATTACTTTGAGGCTGCTCGGAATACAAACACAGGGACACATCAAGAGGAAGACCGTGATAGATACCAGCGGACGAGACAAGTGAAGTCCAACAACAGTGACCCCCTGGTAAAAGACCATGAGGTGAAACAGAAGCCAAAAAATAAGGAAACAGGGCAAAAAGGAGAAAAGAACTTAATCAAACAGAACAAGCCAATGTGTGAGATTCCAACGACAAGAGTCTGTTCTCAGGTAAGCCAAGTTACACCGAGAATAAGAAGAAAATAATTTGCTTCACCTGTCAACAACCTGGCCATATTTCCAAGAATTGTCCACAGAGGATGAACAGGAGATCAGATGAAGGACAAAGAGGATTTATGTCTATGAGACCAGCAAATCAAACGGCTTTCAACACCAATGCCAGAGACTTTGTCCCCAATCACAACAGTTAACAGCGACGGGTCGGCTCAGTAGGCCATGAGCAGACCCCAGGTGATGAATTGGGCCTATCTAAATTTGCAAGTGGGACTTCTTATATTTCAGTAAGTAATTTATTAGAAAAAAGAATGAGATCAAGGACTCGGGGACCCAAGGTCACTCTATAGGTCATAATGCAGTGGAAGCCATTATGAAAGAGATTGGGGATGAAGTGCGTCAATGTGAAGGAGTCAAGGATCAAGTAAGAAGGAGAAGGATATGGAGATAACGAACAGTATTCAATCTCAAAGTCCATTAAACATTATACAAAATAAGAGCAGTGCAAACACGGACCTCCGAAACATCAGAGGTGGGATCAGGTGCCATGGAGGAGTGAGCATCCCCTGTCGACCGGTCACATCCGCCGTGTGCTCATTGTCATGATCAGGAAATAACGGAAAAAATCCGTCGTCGTCAATTCAGTGTATAAATAATGGACTACATGTAACAATTGGTATGAGAAACGTCAGTCACGTTTATCATATAGCTTGGTTGTTAGATTACCATTAGTGTCTTTTTCAAGTAAAATATCCAAGTATGAAGCAGAAGTGTCGGACTCTGTGGTATCTTTTATCTCAAGCTCACCACGATATATATCGTATCGACGTAGGAATGGAAATTATCATTATTAATTGACAATACGTCGTCGATATATCTAAATGTCGAGTTGAAGGCCACAGCAAGTGTTTTCTTCTTTTCACGCAAAAGATTTTTGCATAAATTCTGCTTCATATGAATATAAAAATAAGTCTGCTAATAACGGAGCGCAATTTGTACCCATGGGAATTCCAATAGATTGTTGGAATACCTGGTCTCCAAACACCACATAGATATTGTCAATCAAAGGAGCTCAGATGTCACAGGTTCAGGTGAGATGGAGATCAAGGACTCAGGGACCCAAGGTCACTCCATGGGACATAATGCAGAGGAAGTCATTATGAAAGAGATGGGGGATGAAGTGGGTCAAGGATCGAGTAAAGGATATTTTACCTGATGACAGGAACAGAGTGACAGAGCCAGAGAACCTTACGCAAGCTGAACAACTTTCTATCAATAGGCAGCAGCCAAGAACTGATGGGATCTATTTAAGAGGCACTTTAGAAAATATTAAAATATTCTTCACTGTAGATACTGGAGCTGTGAAGTCAGTAATTTCCAAGAGAGTTTACGACAGAATCCCGGAACTGGAAAGACCAGTTTTAGAAAAATCTTCCGTCAATGGAGACCCACTTGTTGAATTTGGAAAGGCCCTTTTCAAGATAAAACTTCACACTGTTCAATTTTGTTTTGAGTTTATTGTTGCAGATATTCAAGATGAAGGATTGATTGGAATTGATTTTTTGATGTACAATGACATAGGAGAGGCAGAGATCAATTTGAAAGCAAATACTTTAGAGATAGGACATGAAGTTCTGCCAATTACGAGAATTGGATCACCCTTATTGGTACGCAAGGTCCTGTTGGCAGACAATTACAGCATTCCTCCACTCAGTGAAAAAATTGTTGACGTGTACGTACAACGCTGTGAAAAGGGAGATAATTCATCACAATACCTTATAGAACCAAGTATCAATTTTTTGGAGAAAAATCCAGTTATGATGGCAAGCTGTTTAGTTGATACAAGAGAAGAGGTTACTAGTAAGATAAGAATATTAAACCCGTTCAGCGACACTGTTCAACTTTACCAAGACACCTGGATTGGTGAGGTGGAAGAAATGGAAGGGGAGGTAATCACTATACCAGAACAAACAGACCTCACCAATGAGTCAAACCTTCGCCAGGTAAACATTGAAAAGACTCCTGGTTCAATCCCGGAACATTTACAGGACATGTTTAACAAGGCATCAGAAGACAAGAGTTCAGAAGAAAAAGAGTTGATAAGGCAAGTTTTATGTAAATTTTCAGATATATTTTCCAGGAGCGATTCTGATTTAGGACTGACTGACTTAGTTAAACATACCATAGATACAGGAGACACCAAAGAAATCAAAGCTCCAGACAGCTCAGTATTACGTTACGCTACAACTCCATATCATCGCTGCCACAGGCCTTTTTAAATGACCCCATGACACGCGGGTTATGTGACGTCACAAGACGTTCAACTCGAAAAATGGATTCGACAGGAACGACACCTGTCAAGAGGTATCCCCGAAAATTTTATTTTCCTTAAAGGGGAGGAAATTCAACGACAGTAGATTCCTGATGAGGTGATAGACGGTATTGTTGGGCCAAAGACCGTCGAGAAGTTGAAAGAAGCAGAGGCATCGGTAAGAGTCATAATTAGTGTTTATGTATACATATGATAGATAATATTGGAAAAGTTTTAATGCATTTATGTCATTATTATTTTTATGTAAAATCATATCAGTTTAATGTGCTATATATTATATTTGCACTGGAAACTTAACTATTATTGACCAACGGTGCTTGGGGCACCTGTAAACTTGTTTACAATTATACGTACAGGTTAGTTAGTTCTGTTTATCCGGAAGTAGCCTTGTTAAAATTCTGACTAACCCGGTAACCGATGTGATACGTTTCAATGACTGTAGTGAATACTGCCTTATGAATACTGCCTTTTAATGGCTTTACCTTTTGAAGTTATACATACTATCATGACTATACGTAACTGACTGCATATAATAAGTTAAGACTAAAGTTAATGAATGATTGTATAAATCAAGTTATATTATATAAATATTTTTGCTAAACAATGCTAAATGTGATATGTGGAATATAATCTCTTGATTTAGGAATAGGTATCATACAGTTAAATAGGTAGAGGCCTGACAGGTGTGTTTGTGTCATAAGGTACCCCTAGCCTTTGCAGAGGGGAGAAAACAAAAATCATTTACCCAAATGGAAGAAAGTGGAATTATTAGGAAGTCTAATTTCTAATTCTAATTAATAAGAGGCAATTCCTCTTCGTCTGGTAGTTAAGAAAAATGGAAATATAAGACCTTGTGTCGATTTCGGGAAGCTGAACGCAGTAACAAATCAAGATGCTTTCCCATTGCCCAGAGTACATGACTGTTTAGATGCTGTTGCAGGTGCCAAGTACTTCTCTACCTTTGACCTTACATCAGGCTACCACCAAGTACCAATGGAAGAGAGCAGCATTCCTAAGACTGCCTTTGTGACTAAGTATGGGCTCTATGAATTCTTATCAATGCCATTTGGACTTTCATGTGCACCGGCGACATTCCAGCGACTGATGGAATTAGCACTTCAAGGTCTCCAGTGGAAAATTTGCCTCATCTATCTAGATGATGTAGTTGTATTTGGATCATCTGTTGAAGAACACATGGAACGAGTATCACAGGTCTTTGAATGCATCAGACAAGCAAAATTAAAACTTAAGCCAGAAAAATGCCAATTACTGCAAAAGGAAGTTACCTTTTTAGGTCATGTTATTAATGAAAAGGGGATTTCTCCTAATCCAGAAAATGTAAAAATCTTGTACAGATGAAAGTTCCAAGGAATGTAAGAGAAGTCAGAGGATTTTTAGGGTTAGGTAATTATTACAGAAAATTTATTGCAGGATTTTCTCAAATAGCAAAACCATTGGTTGACCTGACTCGCAAAAATGTTAAATTCATTTGGACAGAGGAATGTGAGCAGTCATTCAATAACCTTAAACGAGCTCTGACTGGAGCTGACATAATGGCATACCCTAGAGACCAAGGAAAATTCATACTGGATACTGATGCCAGTGATTATGCTATTGGGGCCTTACTCAGTCAAGTCCAAGATGGACAGGAAAAGGTCTTAGCCTATGGAAGCCACACACTAGGAAAATCTGAACGGAATTACTGTGTTACCGATAAAGAGCTGTGAGATACTTCATCGAGTACTATAAACAATATTTACTAGGGAGGGAGTTTTTAGTAAGGACCGATCATCAGGCATTGGTTTGGCTCTTCAGTCTCAAGGAACCAAAGGGGCGTATAGCTCGTTGGATAGAAATATTATCTCAATACAATTTCAGTGTGCAGTACCGGCCTGGTAAAAAGCATGGAAATGCTGATTCCCTTTCTAGAATGTGTATCACAGTGTGCGAAACTAACTTCAAAGTCCTATAGACTTTCGGTCCATAGACATTTCATTTTCTATAGACCGCAGCAACTTCCTATGGACCGAAATTTAGAATACTACATTCAATGCTAAAATATTGAAATTAAAATAAATAATACATGAAAACTTGTTCATACATAGTTTAATTATATTCTCTTTCAATCTCATAGACCAACTTATTAATCAACATTTCATTTTCTTTTTCATTTTGTTCAGGTTTACTGTCTGAATCACTTTCTGGTTCCATGGATTCTGTCTCAATAAGCTCAGGTTCCATCTCAATCATAGTCTCTGTCTCTGCCACCTGACCTGTCTCTGCTACCTGACCTGTCTCTGCCACCTGACCTGTCTCTGCTACCTGACCTGTCTCTGCCACCTGACCTGTCTCTGCCATCTGACCTGTCTCTGCCACCTGACCTGTCACCAGATTTCCTTTCTGTCGTTTGGTTTGACGGTCAAAATCAGGCTTCCTGAGGGTGTGGCCTAAATTGATATTGAAAACAATATGCATACTGCACTGAACCAGTAAAAGAAAATTTTACACTCTGTTACAATATTGTATAAATAATCACAGAAGAATTGTTAAATGCTGTTCCTTACCATCCAGAGGGATATGGCATCAGCAGGATTGAATTCCTGAATGTTTGGTGACTCTGTCTTTATGGTCATGATCTCAGACAGTGTTTGGGATGACATTCTGGATCTCTTGTCTAGAAAATGTAAATAATATTCATCAAAACATTGTTCTTTGCTAAAACTTTCATTTACTAATATATATTGAGAAAATACTCTTTCTTGTTTAGACTTTCATTTTATCTAATTAGTTCTTGTCCTATATTTCTAATATGCAATGTCTTATAGTTACTAACCACTTTTGATGAGTTTCATGTGCGAAAAAGATCGCTCATTAAACACAGATGTAGGGGGGAGGCTCAGCACTAGGTCTGCCAAACTCAGGATATTGGAGACTCCATGGTTCTTAAATGCAGCATGCACAGCTCTCCACTTCAGAGTGGGAATTTCTCTACCATACCTAGATCAAATACGTAAATAAAACTAATGACAATTTGGACGATCCATGGTGTTTTGCTTCTTAGACTGGGTTTTATACTTATGCAGCACATAAACAATTTTGGTTTAGATAAAATTTTAATAAAAAACAGTAATTCATTATGTACCTCTGATACATGAGAGACTTTAACAATTGCCACTCTCGAATAGCCTCTTCTTTTTCCTCTGTCAAATGCAGCTTGAAGTGGTCAATCAACATACCAATTTCTGCTTTTCCAAAACCTGGATTAATACAATATATGATAAAGGGATTTGCAACTGAATTTTTCTATAAGCATTGTACAATTTTCAAATAAAAGCAAATATGACTGAACAAATTCAATGTAGTTAATTATGTAGTTAATTATATTTCTTTCAAAGCTATAGCCAGTATCAATATCTGAATATCTTGGTATTTATTGACAAATTAATGCAAGTTTAGATTATAATGAAATGTAATCACATCACAGATATTTAAACATCAAAATGAAACAACAAGGTAAACAAAACAAAGTGAACAAAAAACAAGTAACATCAACTCTGAATCAATATTTAAATCACCAATGATTGCATCCTTTTCACTTGGGGGAGGCCAAGAGGAAAAACTAAAACACCTTGTACATGCCACCACCTCTCTATGAGAATCAAATCTCTGGGACAAACACTGCTTTACAGCAGCTGCGAGTTTGCAATGCCCTTTAAGGCAATTCCAGAGAAAGAGTTTTCCTTTCTAAGGAATTCTAGTTCCTCACTAACACTGGATTGGAAATGAGCAAATTGATAGTAATTATAATTTTGTTTTAACTGTTTTAGAATAAAACTACACAAATATTGTTATGTGAATTTATAATGATTCATAATTTTTGTCATATTGACTCGAAGTAATTATCATATCTAATAAAAAAAATATTGAGTCTAAGCTTAGAACTTACATGATGCTTTCGGGTGAGAGAAGGTCTAATGTCGAATCCACCATAACCAGTGCATCCCCAAGTGTGGTGTCTTCTCGTTGCAAATATAACGACAGCTTGGTAACCGGTGCAAGGATATCCTATTTAAATGAATGATGTGCATTTCATACTGTTATCACATTTATTTATAAAATTAGAATTTCAAAGCTTAGGATTTTTTTATTGTTAATATAATCAAATCACTTAATTACCTTCAGCATAAGTAAATATGCAACAACATTGGCATCATGGGCCAATTTTGCCAATCCTTCGGCCTTTGGGTTCTTATGCGATGCGTTGTCAAGCTGGGAAGTGATAGCTGCATAGCTCCTCCTGAAGATATTAATGGCTTTGACGGTATGAGGGACCCATCTCGTACCGCCAACTCTGGTAGGAATCGCACATGTCATATCCAGGACTTCAAACATACTCTTCAGTTCTTTCTTCTGCTTTGGGCTTTTGCTGTAGAAATAATAGAGTCCAATCAGCAGTGTCATAGCTCGGTCGTAAGATTTACTCATGGTGTGCTTTACAGCGTCTTTGATACCCAGTTCCAGTCTGTGGGCTAGACAATGGATAGGAATAATATCTGGGGATATGGTTTTCATCAGTGTACATACACCATTACGAATGCCCATCATATTTGATGCTCCATCTGTGGTGATTCCTATGACCTTTTTCGGGTTTATTTTAAACTCTTCAAGGCAGTCAATGATGGACTGGTAGATATCCTGAGATGACGTAGACTTCGGATTTAAAAATTGAAGAAACCGTTGCTGTTTTACTCCGTCAACACATGTGTGAACATACAACGACTCTTGTTCCATTCCACCCGAATCTGTGGCTCCGTCAATTGTAATAGAACAGAAGTCTGCATAGTTCAAAATTTGTACAGTTTTGTCCGATTCTACTTTTGCAATGTACCGCGCAAACGTCCGTCCTGCCTTATCATTTTCATAAGTGTTACCAATATCAAGGCCCTTGGCCTTATCTAATTTGCACAGCCACACATAATCCTTAAAGGACTTATCTAACTTGGAAACGGCGTGTACATTTCGGAATCTAATGTTCAGTTTGTAAAGCTGCGTAGCATTAAGCTGTCTAATGGCGACGGAAGCTGGAGAGGGTTGGTTGCTGTTTTTTTTCTGGGCAGCCTTACTACTGTCGACGTGAAATTTTTACCCTTCGTGTGTCTTAAGAGAATCCACCTTAAAATTGCTCGTTCCAGAAATCCATAACTTTGCTTGTACATTTAACGAGTCTAGTTTTTCTCCCCAATGTTCACGACAATACGAACAACTCATTTTACCTTCTGTTTCTTCGTATTCTAACCAGGGCCGGCCATTTTTCCAATGCTCTTGAAAGCTTCTACTACGCTTTACTTTGTCATACTCAGCATCTTTTTCTGTCTTGCTGGAACTCGCTGTCTTCGCTACCTTCCGCTTAATAATAATTCCCGGGCGTGCACCCTCAACATACTTTAAACGGTCGAAGAAGGACATGTTTCTTCTGCACTGTTTTGGTGTCCGCGGCCATTAAGTAATCACAACTTAACCTCCCCTCATGTTAAAAATAAAATATTCCGATTCGAATTATTTCTGCATACATCGTGGAACAAACTATTATAACTAAGGGGTGAACGGAATACATCAGTGTAATACAGACGTTTTATTTAAACTGGTCCTCCTTTTTGTGGTTTGTTTATTAGAGACAAGCAGGGAACCAGTTTCTTACTCAGAATTCCTATAGACAAGTCGGTCTATTAATATTTCGATTGGTATAGACCGACTAGATTTTCTATAGACATTGTCTACCGGTCCACCGTTAATTTCGCACACTGGTATCAACCCCAGGAATTGCACTTGTGAAAATAATGAAATTGACTATATGGAGCCTCTACCTTTGAAGTGTGGACCATGCAGTAAATGCAGGAAGAAAACTAAAGAGATGATGAGTCAATTACTGGAGGAACAACCAGACCTAGGAATAACTGATGAAAGGCCATCGAATCTACAGGGATCAGATGATGTAATAAGGACCATCACTACCAGGTCAAAGGGAGAGCATCCAGCACCACTTACAGGGGAAATCAATGTTTCTAAATTACAACAGGAAGATCCTGATTTAAAAATTGTATATCAGTGGGTGAAGATGAATCAGAGAGCCAGTCATACAGAGGTACGTAAACTTAGTCCTGCCATTCGTCATTATTGGCATTTATGGAACTCTCTTTGCATAGTTTACAATATCTTGTATAAGAAATACCATCGCCGATGTGATAGTTAAGACCATCTGCAGATCATAGTACCACACTCCTAACGAGGCACCATTTGAAAGTACATGCATGACAGTTTGATGGGGGGGACACCTTGGAGTTACCAAAACGTATGGTAAGTTGAAACAAAGATTGTACTGGTATGAGGTCAAAGAAGATGTTCTTCTATGGTTGAAGAAGTGTGACACATGTGCCCGGAACAAGCCTGAGAAGAGAATCCCTCGAGCGAAATTAGGAGAAAACCAAGTAGGAGGGCCAATGGACAGATTAGCCACAGATTTGCTAGGACCACTCCCAGAGACTCCTCGTGGTAACAAGTATGTCCTCGTAGTTACTGATCACTTTACTAAGTGGGTTGAAGCCATAGCCGTACCTGACCAAACAGCACAGACATGTGCACACTACTTGTTACAGGTAGTCTGTCAGTTTGGGTGTCCCTTGACAATTCTATCAGATCAAGGTAGGTGTTTTGAAAGTAATTTGTTTTAGGAATTTTGTCATTTACTGGAAATAAAGAAATCAAGAACGAGCCCCAGGAACCCTAGATGTAATGGACTGGCAAAGAGGTTCAACAGGACATTAGTGCAAATGATTAAATCTTATTCAAGAGGGGAGCAAACGGAATGGGACTTACACCTAACCTCCTCATGCTTGGGAGAGAAACACGATTACCAGCTGATTTGATGCTAGGGAATAGTACTTCAGAAGGAATATTGCACAGCTATGGAGAATATGTTGAGAATCTGAGACAACGTCTACTAAAAGCTCATGAAGAAGCAAGGAGACACCTGAGACAAGCAGCCCAACACCAGAAGTAATCTTACGACATTAGAAATTGGCAACACCATTATGAAGGACAATTAGTTTGGTGCTTAAACGAGAGTAGAAAGGAGGGAATATGTCAAAAACTACAACCAACTTATCTCGGCATTTAATGACTTGATTTTTAGCATCCATTTAAGTCCAACGGATTCGCGCGTTATTCACCACAACAAGCTGAAGAAGTATGAAGGAAAAGACAAGCCAGAGTGGGCCAAGAAGCTGTTAAAGAAGTTGAAAATACCATGTCGGTTTTAAGTTAATACTAGTGTTGTGCAGCCTTCTCAAGATATTTGTTGTTTAAAAAGAGAAAAAAATGGAACAGAACTCGTCTTTTTTTTGTATGATTGGGGGGTAGCTCTTTACAGATTAATTATGTTCTTTTATTTTAGTGTGAATTTATAAGCAGATGACAAATTTGGAGAAGGAGATTTTAAGAATGGGGAAAGCGTAACAGTGTCGCTTATGTGACCAGTACGAAGCGGAGAAGAGACATGTTATACCGCATATCTACAAGTACCATATTCCTTTAGATAGTGCTCCTTTCTACTGTAGTTTGTGTCATTTTATCGCTACTGACAAGAGGAAACTTCAAGACCACATCACCCATTATGCCAAGTACATGGAAGCAGCTACATGTAACAACATGCCTGACCAAGGGAAGAGCACAGGAGTTCGCGTACCTATCAATTAATTATACCGAAATTTTCATTGAATAAAAAAAATACGTAATACGTATAATAATAACTCAAGGGGTGCAACGCATTTTAGGTCACCTGGGAACCTCTCGCTTAATATCAAGGCTGTCGCACAATTAATCTTCAATCGAAAATTATAAAACACAAACCAATCTTTTTGGAAGGGACCATTCTTTATGGCTCTTAATTCATAAGATTTCAAACTCGTGTTTTACAGCAGCAGCGGTGACATTTCTCCACAACTTCGCTAAAATATCCGTTGTCCGCGACGCCATGACGTAACGTCACGGGCGCGTCCATTTACCCAAAAAGGAAGAAAACTGCCTGAAATGCTAATCTAGATGATTGGGGTCATATGCGAAAAGAAACCAGAGACAAGTTAGTAGACATTCAAGTAAATTTAAAACGGGGAGGTACAAGTACTTGTACTCGTATCTAAACGTAATATCGTTATCTCTAGTTATGTTCCCCAAACGAAGTTGGGGAACATATTGTTTTTACTCTGTTTCTTATTAGGGTCTTCCGTCTTCAGCGGAAGACCCTTCTATTTTTCTTCGGTTTCTTTTTCCCCTTTATTAGGGTCTTCCGTCTTCAACGGAAGACCCTTCTATTATTCTATTGTTTCTTTTTCACTTTTATTATTCTTCCTCTTTTTTTCTTACAATTTTTGTGCAGAAGATTTCTCGGAGATGGCTCGATCGATTAACTTGAAAATTTCAGGAAAGATGTGTCTTCACCTAAACTTGATTCGTTTTTCTCATTTTCTTAAAATTCACTTCCGGTCGGAAGTTATCGCCCTTTAATCGAAATTTAGAGGACTTTCTTGTCTGGAGCAGAACTCAAAAACGGTTTAAGCTAGAGCGCTGAAATTTTTACCAAAGATAGGGGACATGTTGCCATTGTGCACCTGGGTCAGGATATTTTCCGGAAGTGCCTAGTATGGAAGCTCGGTGGGGGTCAAAATCTAGGACACGAATCATGAGTGAATTTTCGAGACATTTTGTATCATATCTTTCAAAGTATAAATATTTTGTTAAAAGATACTGAGCGATATTCGTGCAGAATGACAAGATCTTTAATATGATATCAATAAAAAAGTGTTGACTCATCACATTAGGGGCAAAAAAGGGCCAAAAGTCCTTTTTCGATAACTCTTTAACAGTCAATATTTTGTTATACATTACTGAAGCAAAAATGTTTATCTCAGCCATTTACAACTATATGTTATGATTTTTATGTCGTATGATACATAATTAGGGGCCACAAGGGGCCAGAATGCTAAATCTTTGACGCTTTATATCTCGAAAGTGGGAAATATTTTGATAATCAATATTGAACGAAAGATGTTCAAGATAATAATCTGAACAATATGCAACCTTTTATTTTTCGTTAATCGTCCCCATTAAGGGGTTGAAGGATTGGCCCCTAAATATTTCTTTTGCAAATAGCTCTAAAACGAAACAGAATCTCTGAATAGTTGTTGAACAAAATTTTTTTCAAAATTATAAGATGTTTAAGATGAAATCAAGAACAAGGGGCTGGGCACTCAAATTAGGGGCCAAGAGGGGCCAAAAGTCTTCAATCGGTAACTTTTTATTAGTTAATATTTTGAAATACATTACTTAAGTAAACATGTTTATCTCGAAGATCTACAACTATATATGATGATTTTTATGTCGTATGGTACATAATTAGGGGCCACAAGGGGCCAGATTGCTAAATCTTTGACGCTTTATATCTCGAAAGTGAGAAATATTTTGATAATCAATATTGAACAAAAGATGTTTAAAATAATATTCTGAACAATATGCAACCTTTCATTTTTCGTTAATCGTCCCCATTAAGGAGATGAAGGGTTGGCCCCTAAATATTTCTATTGCAAATAGCTCTAAAACGAATACGAATCTCTGAAGAGTTGTTGAACAAAACGTGTTCAAAATCATAAGAGCTATAAGGTAAAACCAAGAACAAGGGGCTGGGCACTCTAATTAGGGGCCAAGAGGGGTCAAAAGTCTTTAATCGATAACTCTTTATTACTTAATATTTTGTAATACATTACTGAAGCAAAGATATTTATCTCGACGATCTACAACTATATATTAGTATTTTTATGTCGTATGGTACATAATTAGGGGCCATAAGGGACCAGAATGCTAAATCTTTGACGCTTTATATCTCAAAAGTGAAAAATATTTTGATAAGTAATATTGAACAAAAGATGTTCAAAATCATGTTCTGAACAATATGCAACCTTGCATTTTTCACTTAACGTCCCTATTAAGGAGTTGAAGGGCTGGCCCCTAAATATTTCTTTTGCAAATAGCACGAAAACGAAAAAGAATCTCTGAATAGATGTTGAACAAAAAGTGTTCAAAATCCTGAGAGTGTTAAGATGATATGAAGAAAAAACGGCTGATCCCTAGTATTAGGCCCCTAAAGGGCCAAAATGCGATTTTTTAAGTCTTTCATTTTCATTGCCTTTTTACAAATTATGGAAAATCATTATTTTAGAATGAAAATCTCAATCAAAATCTTATCTCATCTCATCAAGAATCGGACGGAAGACCCACTCGTTGCTCGCAACGAGATCGTATCTAGTTAGGGTCTTCCGTCTCCAACGGAAGACCCTTCTATTATTCTATTGTTTCTTTTTCACTTTTATTAAGGTCTTCCGTCTTCAGCGGAAGACCTTATTGTTTTTCTTAGGTTTCTTTTCCACTATTTTTATTATTATTGTTTTTTTTTCTTACCGATTTTGTACGCGCGATTTCTCGAGAACGGCTCGATTGATTTTCATGAAACTTTCAGGTCTGATAGAACATCAAAAAATCTAGACATATATTTTTTTATTTTGATGACGTCACTTCCGGTTCGGAGTTTTCTGCGATTTAGTGATTTTTAGAGGGTCACTTTGTCCGGCAGTTTTCTCAAAAAGCACTTAACACAGAAGCTTGAAATTTTCAGTGATGCTTGAGCAACTTTTGGAGAAGTGCATTAAGTATATCACAACTACCGGAAG